TTAACAATAACATAAATCTATCTTAATAAGCGTCGTATTTTCTCTCAAATAATTGAAAATAATTGTCCTCGTAGCAAAACTTTTTCCTTACATCATAACACAATACTCAAAAATACGTCATATAGGACAGTATAATAAACGAACCTTGATCCACACGCATCGTTTTCGTTTGCAAAAATCGTTGTGTCAAACATTTCAATTAACAATAACTTAATAACATAAATCTATCTTATCTAATCAGTCATATTTTCTCTCAAATAACTGAAAATAATTATCCTCGTAGCAAAACTTTTTCCTTACATTGTCACGCAATATTTAAAAATACGCCTGAATCGTATCGAATGACATAATAAACGAATCTATATGCATCGTTTTCGTTTGCAAAAATCATTGCGTCAAACATTTCAATTAACAATAACTTAATAACATAAATAGATCCTAATTTATATGTGTCATTTTTGCTCACAAAAGAGCAAAGATAATTCGTAGCAAAACTTTCTTTTGCTATCGTCACACAATACTCAAAAATACGCCTGAATCGTATCGAATGACATAATAAACGAATCCATATGCATCGTTTTCGTTTGCAAAAATCATTGCGTCAAACATTTCAATTCAACAATAACATAAATCTATCTTAATAAGCGTCGTATTTTCTCTCAAATAATTGAAAATAATTATCCTCGTAGCAAAACTTTTTCCTTACATCATAACACAATACTCAAAAATACGTCATATAGAACAATATAATAAACGAACCCTGATCCATATGCAATCTTTTTCGTTTGCAAAAATCGTTGTGTCAAACATTTCAATTAACAATAATTTAATAACATAAATCTATCTTATCTAATCAGTCATATTTTCTCTCAAATAATTGAAAATAATTGTCCTCGTAGCAAAACTTTTTCCTTACATCATAACACAATACTCAAAAATACGTCATATAGGACAGTATAATAAACGAACCTTGATCCACATGCATCGTTTTCGTTTGCAAAAATCGTTGTGTCAAACATTTCAATTAACAATAACTTAATAACATAAATCTACCTTATCTAATCATATTATCGTCATATTTTCTCTCAAATAATTGAAAATAATTATCCTCGTAGCAAAACTTTTTCCTTACATTGTCACGCAATACTCAAAAATACGCTTGAATCGTATCGAATGACATAATAAACGAATCTATATGCATCGTTTTCGTTTGCAAAAATCATTGCGTCAAACATTTCAATTAACAATAACATAAATCTATCTTAATAAGCGTCGTATTTTCTCTCAAATAATTGAAAATAATTGTCCTCGTAGCAAAACTTTTTCCTTACATCGTCACGCAATACTCAAAAATACGCCTGAATCGTATCAAATGACATATAATAATATAAATATTTCAATTAACAATAACTTAACAATATAAATAGATCCTAATTTATATGTGTCATTTTTGCTCACAAAAGAGCAAAGATAATTCGTATCAAAACTTTTTTCTCCTATCGTCACTCAAAAATACGCCTGAATCGTATCGAATGACATATGCATCGTTTTCGTTTGCAAAAATCATTGCGTCAAACATTTCAATTCAACAATAACATAAATCTATCTTAATAAGCGTCGTATTTTCTCTCAAATAATTGAAAATAATTGTCCTCGTAGCAAAACTTTTTCCTTACATCGTCACGCAATACTCAAAAATACGCCTGAATCGTATCGAATGACATATAATAATATACCTGAATAATACCGGAATAAACCTGATCAATATGCATCATTTTTGTTTGCAAAAATCGTTGTGTCAAACATTTCAATTAACAATAACTTAATAACATAATTCTATCTTATCTAATCAGCGTCATATTTTCTCTCAAATAATTAAAAATAATTATCCTCGTAGCAAAACTTTTTCCTTACATCATAACACAATACTCAAAAATACGTCATATAAGACAGTATAATAAACGAACCTTGATCCACATGCATCGTTTTCGTTTGCAAAAATCGTTGCGTCAAACATTTCAATTAACAATAACATAAATCTATCTTAATAAGCGTCGTATTTTCTCTCAAATAACTGAAAATAATTGTCCTCGTAGCAAAACTTTTTCCTTACATTGTCACGCAATATTTAAAAATACGCTTGAATCGTATCGAATGACATAATAAACGAATCTATATGCATCGTTTTCGTTTGCAAAAATCATTGCGTCAAACATTTCAATTCAACAATAACATAAATCTATCTTAATAAGCGTCGTATTTTCTCTCAAATAATTGAAAATAATTATCCTCGTAGCAAAACTTTTTCCTTACACGCAATACTGAAAAATACGCCGTGAATCGTATGGGACGGGATGATAGGATAAACGTGGATCCTGATCCACGCGCACAGTTTGCAAGAGAGCGAGGATAAGAGACCAAGTTAATTCTAACGTTACGCTGCATTACGAGCGCCGTATCGGATAGCATAAACGGATCCCGATCCAGTGTGGATCGTCTTGGCGCGCTTGCGAAGGGGTCGTGGCCCAAGTTTTTGCCCCCGAGGGTCGGCCGAGTTTGCGCCAGTCGGTCTCGCGCCGCCGCCGCCGCCGCCGCCGCCGCCGCCGACGACGACAACCGCTCCGCTCCGCTTCCAGCCACCTCGCGCGCGATCCTCGCCAGTCTCGCTCGTCCGCTCGTGCCACGCTCACCTCGCCGGCCGCTATGTCCGCCTCCAACTCGCGCCACCGCGTCGCTTGACGATCCATTCTCCCTCCCCCCTCTCCCCCCTCTCCACTCCTCCCCCTTCTGCTCTCTCTCGATCCGAATCGCGCTGTTGGATCTTGGATCGCGTGCTCCCGTACGCGTGTCTCGTAAATCGCGAGTGTGTGAACGTTAAAGGGGATACGAAGCAGTGTGGGGGGATAAGAGTGAAATTGAACGGAAGGGAAGGATGATCTGAGGTGAGAGACGTGGGCCTGTTGTGGGAAGGATTTTTCGTGTGGTTCGAGGATCATTTTTTTCGATCATCGAAGATCGAAGGAGGATCGGCGAGAGGATCGTGGGATTTCGAAAAATTGGAAATTCGTGAATTTTGTGTGGATGTGGGTCGAGGGTAAGAATATTATTGTTAAGTACGTAGAATAGAATATGTTTCGAAAAAATTCCAATGGATTTTTAAAAAAATTGGACACGTAGGAGGAGTGAGAATAGTCGCCGAGGATCGTAAGATCGCAAGAAAAATTTCGAATGGTGAATTTTCACAGATATCTAAGGAGAGGAGAAATATTATTGCGAGGATAACGTTTGAAAAAATTTCAAAATTGATTTTAAAAGATTCAATCGAAGAATAAGAATAATACCGTTGTCGTAGGATCGTAAGATCGTAAGAAAAATTTCGAATAACGTAACGTTTCAGAGATCTGATCGAGGGGTAAGAAGAATATTATCTCGCCAGGAATCGTAAAATATTTCGAAATATTCCAATTGTGGATCTTAGAAATTCAATCGAAGGACAAGGATATCGTTGCCGAGGATCGTAAGATTTCGAAGATTTCGATCCAACTCCAAATATATATATATATAAAAGAAAAAGACATCATTGCGGAGGATAATGAAATTTCCAAAAAATGTTAATCCTCGTTTTTTTAAAGAATCTCATTGTGAAGGAATCGTAAGCTCGATCTTTCTCAAAGATTGGACGGGGAATAGAATAATAAAATTCTAGATCTGAAGAAATTTATAAGAGGATTGCAACGTATAACGCTGTTTGGCAGAATTATCACGACAGGGTTAACAGCATCTCCAGGCTTTAGGGGTTCGAGAGATTGGGAGATCCGAAGTGGACGGTGAGGTTTAACGGGGGCGATCGTACCGGCCCCGTTAGTCGTAAATCTCCTTTCGTGTCTTGCCTCCATTCCCGTAAACGCCAAAACCTCTAACTAACTTTGAGATAAGTGGAAGAATAATCAACCGTGAATAATCATCTGTTTACCATCGAACACGTGGGGATCAGCGATGAAAAAGTGTTTTGCCCGATTTTAACGTTCGTCCGTATAATATAACAAATAACAACGAATTCTAAGAAATTCTAAGCGATCGATTTCGAGGAACGCGTGGATAAACGACATAAGAACAAACAGTGCGGAATTTGTGCGGATATAATTTTACGGTGGCAGAGTGAGACGAGACGATGAAAGGACGGATGGTTGGTGGTACGTCGTAGCAAGGTCGATGAAGATACGAGCTGGCCATACGGAAACTGGTCAAGGAGGTGTATTGACGGTTGGATTATTGACAAGAGGAGAGGAGCTGTTCGAGTTGGATACAAGAAGTGGAAAATGGAAAACGTGCCGATGAAACGTTCAGATTGGAAGGGTTGACGCGACGAGGATAAATCGGAATCGCGACGATTTGATTAATCGTTCGATAACACGTTCCGCGTGATTCTCAGCGATCCTGTCACTGATTTTCGAAGTTTGATCTGGTGAGTTACTTACCTTTTCTTTTTTTTTTTCAAAGAAAATGCGTCGATCTTTCTACTTAAATCCCCCGAGAAATTTCGTATAATTTGAACGACGGATTTAATATTGAGAGTCGATAAATGTTTTTATCGATTGAATAAATATCGAAGAAATCGATATTTCAAACGTAGAATAATAAAGTTGGTAAATGACGAATCTTTAAATTTCTGACAGATTTGTTATATACGACGATCGAATTAATATTATTCGAGAGTAAATATGTTTTTATCGGAAGTAAATATTGGATAAATTAATATTTGCGATTTGAAATAGATAATTATAGATATTTTGGAGATAGAGTTTTCGTAGTAATTGTTTTAATATCACTTTGCGATACGATTAGATTTGGAATTAGATTTAATGTAGGAAAGTGAAATTTGAAGATCTCTATCTGTTAAATTAACCTGTTATTTATTTTAACGAAGATTCGCTTCCCGGAATTGTGCGAAATAGGTCATCAGTATCCAAGTACGCTAATCAATAATAAAACGAGCTATATTATTTTCCACGAATAATACCCATATATTAATAAATTATTCAAATATAGACGAACAAAAGAAAGGTAAAAAAAAAAAAAAAGAAAATAAAGAAGAACGAGCTTCATATTTTTGATCCGAAATGATTTCAATCCACGAGCGAAAATTTACATTTTTATTACACGAAACACACATTTATAACGGTAGATCATTTACGAAACATATACATTACGATTCGTAATTTCCAATTTATCAAAATATGATACACGCGAGTCTCTGACCTCGGCAAATATTTTCATCGATATTTCGTCCAATTTTGTAATTTTCATTTGTTATTATTCTTTTGGTATTTTTTTCCCCTCTCTCTCTCTCTCTCTCTTTCGAAACAAGCATATAAACTTGGCGTTGAAATTCGTGCTTCATGGAACGTGTTTTGTTCACGTGCAGTGATTGATAAAATAACTGGACAAACGCGTTTCGACTTGGTTACGTATATAACATGGACGTTCGCAAACTGCTGTAAATATTTGCCTGGAAAATTAACCGAACAAAATTCCTCGTTTGTTTCCTCTTCCCATGTTACTATATGGATAAATTTTTATCCATTAGAAAGAAACGTCCTTATGAATCGAACGAGCTTGAATTTCTGCTTGGAAAAAAAACGAGAAAATTATTCTTAAATTTCAAATATGAGAAAAAAGAATAGAAATTTATATAAAAAAATCACTCTTCCTTCGATTAATCTAACGAGCAAAAATTAAATCTGAAATGGAAGATGAAATATCAAAGGTAAAAAAAAAAAAAAAAAAAGAATAATAAAAATGAACACGAGAGAAAAATTTAATTTTTGCGAAATTTAATTTTTTTGAATTTCATTGAATTTCACGATTTGAATTTCGTAACGGTAATTAGATACAGATTAATTAATTTAAGGGATTGTCAGGTATAACGGGACAAAGAAAGAATTTTCTTCTTACAACGCGAAGGAAGTTTCTTATTCGTCGCGTGATAAGAAAGAAAAAGATGTCACAGCAATTCTTACAGTTAGTTGAGCTCCCAAGGATGGGAGTGGAGCAGGTCGAAAAAAGTTGGGGAATTGAGTTATCTTCATATTTCCTCTTCTTATCGTCAAATCTAACGTGTCCTTTTACCGGCGAATACTTAAACTTTTTTAATCCTTATTAAATTTTATACCTTATAATCTTTTATATCGATCGAAAAAATTTAACATTTTTATCGGTAGAAAATTTTTTTAATTAAAACTTGAATCTTATATCCAGAATTCTCCTAAATTTTTTTTTTATTCGGACAATCGTTATCTCGATCGCGTAAAAAGAAAATAAATTCCGATTCAAATTATATTCCATACTCATATTAGATTACTTTATTCTCCTTCGATCAAAATTCTTTAAATTTTGGATTTTACATACTTTGAATATTTATATAATAATCCAAATACCATGTACACCAGGTATATATAACTTTTTTCTCAAGTTTAAAATTTTATTTTTATCTTCAAAGAGTTAAATGTTAGAATTTCGTTTTTTTTTTTTTTTTTTTAATTTTAACAAAACGTAGTAACGATTTCCCTAAATTTTCATGGCATAATTGTCTCGGCCATCGACGTCAAAAATAAAAAAAAAAAAAAAAAGAAAAAAATAACCCAATAATGTCAACTCCAAGTTACATTCTGTCAAAGACAAGCTCGTAAATTTGTTCCAAATACCGTTGTACCATGACACGTACGTTACATATCTATATACAATTCTATATATCGCAACGCAACGATTCGGTTAAGCTATCTTCGATTCGGGTCAAATGTAAAAGCTCCTATTACGATTCACCAGTTAACCGCGAGTCTATGACCTGCATCTCGAGTTCGGATCGGCCAGGCCTCCCTGCAACTTTGCGTCCGTATTTTACATTTATGCGCAAGATAAGTCCACCCTATGTATTCGATTTATCGTACACCTCACCTGTATCGACTTTTCCGCACCACTTTCCATTCTTCCCTTCCGCCCGCGAATTTCCTCAAAGTATTATAATCACATCACGTGGAGCAGATAGAATTTTAAAGGAAATCATCTAAATGATTCGTATATAATTCTCGAAAAGATTAAATTTTCAAGTTTGCAATTTTTTTTGAAAAGGTTTTCAAAATTTCAAATTTTAAATTTCGTAAGATCGCTTTGAAGATCGTTCGCCAACGTTCGAATCACATTTATTGTTAAGGTTAGTTCAGGTTAGGTTATTATAAATTTTCAACATTTATTTCGATTACACGGAAATGTGATAAAGTTATGATCTATCGTGGTCACGAGTTAATGAAGTCGTCAAAAAAATATCGCGAATACTCCACAAGAGAGATTTTCGATATCTATCTCGATCTATTTCGATAACGATAAAACCCGTCGAAATGAATTGATTTATAAAAATACACGATTTATGAGAAAAAAAGAAAAAAAAAACAATAGAATCGCAGTTTAGTTGTAAAAACGAATATTTGACGAAATTTTAGAAAACATCTCGTTGAAAATGAGATTCTTCATCGCATTTCAAATTGTCCGATCAAACATAACCTCAAAATCACGGGAAAATTAACGAACGGTGTCCCGTCAGAATTGCGATCGCGCGTTGCAATCTCCAAATGGAGAGTCAAAAATACAGAGCACTGTTGATAGATCCGTGTACAAAACGAATGGAATAACCAATAGCTTTTCAACAATGACGCGTTATTTGGATCGGTAATATTGGAGCGGACGCGGTTCGTTTCGAGTGCGCCCCATCCAACGTTTCATTTACGATATAATGCTGAATTTGGTGGAGTATCGTTACGGTTTTAAACGTTTTCAGGGATTTTCGCGGGAACCTTTGTTTCTCGATTCGAGTGAACTCGCTACCAAGTTTTTCAAGCGGAGTTGGAGGGTGCTTTTCTGCCATGGTCGTACGAATTTTCTTTTTTTTTTATTTTTCTTTCTCTTTTCCCCTTTGTTTTGTCGATCGAGATACGATTGTTCGATGATACGAGCGAGGGGAGAATGGAAATGCTCGATTGTTCGTTACGCGGAATAACATTTTTCTGTTTCTTTGTAACGGAGGAAATGTAAGAAAGTCTTTTTTACGAAACACTTTCGAGGAATAATTTTTATAAAAAAATTTTTTTTCATTTTGTCAATAGTTTTTCGAGGCAATTCATGGCAATTTAGAATTATACGATATTACAATGTTATTATTGAAAATTAAAAATTTTCAATATTGGAATAGGATGATACAAGGGAGAAAAGAGTAGATTTGGATTTATTTCTTATTTTAGAATGTGAGATTGTTTCTTATTTTAAATATTCATAAAAAAATTCGTATAAAAGTTCTTCCTCTGAATTTTATTCCTGTCTATTATTTTTCGATAAATTTTATTCAATGTTGGCAAAGAAATAAAGCAAAGATCACATCTGTGTATCTACTAAATGTATTTCGACGTCACGTTAAGCGATAACGATTTTATTATCGTTTAAAAATAACGAATAAATGAAATAATAACGGTATAAAAAGAATTTTAATCGTACAATGGATACGCGTAAAGCGACGAAAAACATTTTCGAAAAAATTCAATTTTCGTATATACATATATATATATATATATAGATATTTGAACCGTGAGTTAGCCCAATGATGCTCCTTTTGTCAGAATTTCACGCTGTCAACGGAATCCAATTAAATATCGGATCTGCCTTTTGCGTTAATGGATTTATACAGGGAAGAAAAACCACATTTATCGATGAAAAAAAAAAAAAAAAAAAAAAAAATATATTTTAATTCAATTTTTTCCCAAAAAACAAAACAGCAAATCTTTTTCCTTTTTTTTTTTTTTTTTTTAACAATTTAAAATAACATAACACTTTTATAATTCGATCAAGAAAATTTTCCCTCTTTTTTCATTTTTTTCACTCTTCACGTTATCGCATTTTATACAAATCGCGCAAAAANATAACATAACACTTTTATAATTCGATCAAGAGAATTTTCCCTCTTTTTTCATTTTTTTCACTCTTCACGTTATCGCATTTTATACAAATCGCGCAAAAATTATCGAAAATTATTCGTTCGCATCGAATTCGAACGTAAAAAGCTTTAATACCATTATATGAAAAAAAAAAGAGCAAAAAAAAAGGGAAGAGAGA